TATTGCCATGTTATTGGCTATGTCTACGATGTTGTATTTTACATCCCCATGACTGTAACAACCGATTTGTACTTCTCAATTCCTTCACCATTTTTACTCTTTGCCCCCAATCCCTCTCCCATCTGGCAACCATCAAAATATTCTCTGTGTCTATGAGTCTGTTTCTGTGCTGCTTGTGCACTTATCTTGTTTGTAGGTTCCACATGTAAGTGAAGTCACGGGGCATTTGTCTTTCTCTGTCTGACATGTTTCACTCGGCGCAATGCCCTCGAGGTTCAGCCATGTTTTTGCAGATGGCCGGGTTTCATCCATTTTTATGGCTGAGACACATTCCGCTGCATGCCTGCGCCATTTCTTCTTTATCCATTCATCTACTGATGGACACTTCGGTTGCTTCCGTATCTTGGCTATTGTAAATGGTGCTGCCATGAAGATATGGATGATGCATATGTATTTATTGCCACTTTATTATTCATATATGGTTTTAATTATAACTACCAGTATAACCAATATTTATTCGCATTCACTTTGTGGCAGGCATTTTTTTCTGAGCCCTTTATCTCAGTAAGAATCCTCCATCTTTAACTTCATTCAATGAAGGCAGGTTCTGTCATTATTGATGTTTTATCTCTGAGGAAAGTGAGGCAAAGAAGACAAAGAGGGACACTTTCCAAGCTCACATGAGAAGTAAGTGACTGAGCCAGGATCACATTTTTTTTCTGCTTATTCTTGAAGAAAACCCGTTAACATTTCTTATCACACTCGGCGGTGATGAACTCCTGTAGCTTTTCTTGCCTGGGAAGCTCTTTATCTGCCCTTCCCTTCCATGTGGCTTCTTCTTTAAGTCTTTAGAGGTAGGACTCCATTCGGCTAGATGTCAGGCTGTTCTGAGTGAGGTTGCTCTGTCCTTTAGTTGTAAGTTTGATGTAGTTGTGGCAGGGTTTAGGTACCATGTTTACTGACACCGCCTTCTTGTCCAGAACTTTGGGGTTGTTTTTTTTTTTATCATTTTAATTTTACTGTTCTTGGTGATTTTTTATTTCCATATACATTTTAGCATCACTTGAAAAATGCCATAAGGAAACCTGCTGAGACCCTGATTGGAATTATTTCCAATCTGCCGGCCTACGTGGAGATCACTGACCTCTTAGAAATAGTGAGTTTTCTGGCCCCGGACATGCTGCGCTTCATTTGCTCAGGTCTTCTTACTTCTCTCAGCGAGTCTCCGTACCTCTTAGGGTGGAGACCTTATTTCAGACCCTTTGTGCGCCTCAGTGACTGAAGGTTAAGAAAATGAGGAAACGGCAGAAGGATGGAAAGAAAATCAGAAAGCCAGGGGGAGGCAGTGTCTACAGGGGGGTGATTAACTGAGTTAAATGCTCCCGACATACCAAGTCGCATGCGGACGGCGGGTGCGCACTGCATTCCTCGGCGGGTGAGTTAGTCTTAACCATGAAGAGACACTTAGATGAGACAAGTGGGGACACAGACCAACGAGAGTGAATTCAAGGTAGAGTGGACATGGTGCTTACTGTGCAAAGAATCAGGGAGGCCGAGCAAGAGCTGGAGGAAGGGGGGGTGGGAAACAATGTTGATTTTTGAGATGGCAGAGTAGCCACAGGTCTCTCTGCTGTAACGATGCAGAGGGCAGGCAGGCTGATATGCTGAGGGAGAGGCGGGAGCCGGGACGCAGTAACCAGAGCTCAGTGAGGGCTCAGCCTGAGCCGGAGCGGGCCTCACCAGAGGGAAGGCAATGGGTATGAGAGGGGCAGGTGTGTGAGGGGCAGGTGTGAGAAGGGCAGGTGTGAGAGGGGCAGGTGTGAGAGGGGCAGGTGTGGGGGGCGACAGGTGTGTGAGGGGCAGGTGTGTGAGGGGCAGGTGTGAGAGGGGCAGGTGCGAGAGGGGCAGGTGTGAGAGGGGCAGGTGTGAGAGGGGCAGGTGTGTGAGGGGCAGGTGTGAGAGGGGCAGGTGTGTGAGGGGCAGGTGTGGGGGGCGACAGGTGTGTGAGGGGCAGGTGTGAGAGGGGCAGGTGTGGGGGGCGACAGGTGTCTGAGGGGCAGGTATGTGAGGGGCAGGTGTGAGAGGGGCAGGTGTGAGAGGGGCAGGTGTGTGAGGGGCAGGTGTGAGAGGGGCAGGTGTGAGAGGGGCAGGTGTGAGAGGGGCAGGTGTGTGAGGGGCAGGTGTGTGAGGGGCAGGTGTGTGAGGGGCAGGTGTGGGGGGCGACAGGTGTGTGAGGGGCAGGTGTATGAGGGGCAGGTGTGAGAGGGGCAGGTGTGAGAGGGGCAGGTGTGTGAGGGGCAGGTGTGAGAGGGGCAGGTGTGAGAGGGGCAGGTGTGTGAGGGGCAGGTGCGAGAGGGGCAGGTGTGTGAGGGGCAGGTGTGAGAGGTGCAGTGCCGGAGTCCAACCCCAGCAGGTCCAGGGGTCCCCAAAGGTGTGGATGGAGTCGGCGAAGAAGGAATGACAGGGAGACAGTGTTCAGTTGATCAGCAGCCTAGCCAGGATCTCCAGCCAAGTTCTGGTCTGGATCTCCAGAGAGGTTCTGCCTAGGATCTCCTGCCAGGGTCTGTGTCCATGTTCTCTTGCTAGGTTCTCCAGCCAGGTTCTCCAGTTTCTCCAGCCAGGTTCAGTCACCAGGTTCTAGTCAGGTTCTCTTGCCAATTTCTGTAGTCAGGTTCAGTCCAGGATCTTTTGCCATGTTTTCTCCAGCGAAGTTCTTCTGTCTCTGGGTTCTGTGTAGGTTCTGTCTTCTTAGTCCTGTGTTCTAAGTTCTGTATTCTAAGTTCTGACTCTTGCTGTCTTGTTACATCTGTATTTATACCAGTTGATTCAATCCTATCAATCTCTATTACAAAGGTTAGGGCGTTTCTTATCTCCATTCCAGGGAGTAAAGATTATGTAGCTTAAGCATGATTGTTTGTAGTTAAAGTGATTAACTACCCACCTGGCACTTAGTTAAGGAGTTTTATCCCCTCCCTGACTTCAGGGAAAAAATCCCTACCTGGGGAAACAACCTTTCTCAGAGAGGAGACCTTGGTTAAAACACATAGTGCCAAGAAGGTGAGCAAACACTTTAAGAACAGTATGCCATATATGCCAGGTCCTTTGAAACAGCAAGGATGGACTGGCTCCCGGCAGTGCAGGTGTGTGAGGGGCAGGTGTGAGAGGGGCAGGTGTGTGAGGGGCAGGTGTGGGGGGCGACAGGTGTGTGAGAGGGGCAGGTGTGTGAGGGGCAGGTGTGAGAGGGGCAGGTGTGAGAGGGGCAGGTGTGTGAGGGACAGGTGTGTGAGGGGCAGGTGTGAGAGGGGCAGGTGTGTGAGGGGCAGGTGTGAGAGGGGCAGGTGTGTGAGAGGGGCAGGTGTGTGAGGGGCAGGTGTGTGAGGGGCAGGTGTGAGAGGGGCAGGTGTGAGAGGGGCAGGTGTGTGAGGGGCAGGTGTGTGAGGGGCAGGTGTGTAAGGGGTGTGAAGGGGCAGGTGAGATGGGCAGGGGTGAGGGCAGGTGTGTGAGGGGCAGGTGTGAGAGGGGCAGGTGTGTAAGGGGCAGGTGTGAGAGGGCAGTGGTGAGAGGGCAGGTGTGTGAGGGGCAGGTGTGTGTGAGGGACAGGAGTGTGAGGGGCTGGTGTGAGAGGGGCAGGTGTGTGAGGGGCAGGTGTGTGAGGGGCAGGTGTGTGAGGGGCAGGTGTGAGAGGGGCAGGTGTGTGAGGGGCAGCTGTGACAGTGTGCGGTGGGTGGAGCCCTTCTCAGAGAGCCGGAGGCAGAGCCGTCAGCTGTCCCTGCACCCAGGCGGCTGCTGGAGGAGGGAACTCAGGGGCCCCTTAGAGGGAAGGGATTCCTCTGTAACATCCCTGCGCTGTGGCCACTGTTCTCACTCTCACGCCTCTGCGGGAGGGGCCACCATGTTGATGTTTTTGTGAATAAATTACATCTCGACTTCCAAAGAGGGAGCGGTGCCATGATGTTACACAGGTAGAGGCTCCAGGCAGACCAGCCCTCCCTGGAGATGGGCGCCCGCTGTGTGGCTGTGTGTTACTCCTGATGGGAGGGAAGGTGCCCTTAGCCGAGGGAGGTGACTGCTGAGAAGCATGGACCCGCCCCGAAGGGAGCCCCTCCGATGGCGGTGGGGGCTGATGGAGAAGTGAGGTGCGACCGATGGGGCTCAGAGGGCAGTCGGAGGGCCCCAGAAGGAAGGGCGGGAAACGCAGCCGGGGAAACCGGGCTCATGGGCGAGCAGCCAGCGGAGTCCCGATGCCGCCCCACCCGCCCAGCTCTGGGCTCTCGTCTCCCCGTCTCCCAGTCTCCCCGGGGCCCTTTGCTTTGAGAGGCTGAGCGGCACTCCTTTCTCCCGTCGAAGCCGTCTTCTGCCCTCGAGCCCCGTTCGGTTCGGACGTTCGGACGCGTCGCTGTCCGTGTCGCTGTCCGTGTCGCTGTCCGTGTCGCTGTCCGTGTCGCTGTCCGTGTGCCTGCCGGGCGCTCCGCGGCCTTCGCTTCCATTCAACACGCAGTTCACCTCCTCAGCACGGCGACTAGACCTGAGCGGACTGAAAAGTTCACGTCGGGCTGGTGTTCACCACCAACAGCGCCTGTGACGGACAGAGCTGGCACACGCACACGCACATGCATGCACACACACATGTGCACACACACATGTGCACGCACACACTTGCTCTGGGCCTGGGAGGGGACTGCTACCTGGCCAGCACCCCCTCCTGGGGCTCTGGGCTCCCCCTCCTGCACCTGCCTGCCATTGGCAGCATTTGAACCTGCGATGGAGAGGCCTGGGCAGCGCCCTCCCCCTCCCGCCGGGCAGCTGAGCTCCAGCAGCTTCGGGAGCTCCTGTTTGGATGGAGGGGAGTCAGTGCGGACCCTCGACCTGCTCCACCCCTGCCTGCGGATGACACCGATGACACGCAGCGACAGGGCAGCCAGAACGAATGACTCCCTCTGCCGCCGCCGCCCGCGAGGGGGGAGCCTGACCCAGTTTCCGCGGGAGAGATTTTTCTGATGACCCCACAGAAGTGCCGCTCTAGTCAGAGGGGGGAGGAGACTGCCTCTCGCCTGCGCCGGTGGCAGCCTGGCAGCCGCGCTGGGCTAGGTGCTGCCTGGCGGGGAGGATGCTGAGGCTGCAGGCGCCGGGGAGCTGAGCTGGCGCTGGCTTTGGGAGGGAGGCTGTTCTCCCAGACACTCAGAGCGAGCGGCTTGGCTGGAGCCTCCCTCCGGAGCTGGCAGCCCGGCTCGGCTCGGGCAGGAAGGCGGCAGGAGCAGCGTGCGGTGCTGAGGACAGAGGAGGGAAGCGGGCATCCTCGGGGCAGGCGGCGGTCCCGCGGGAGACCTCGCCTCCCGGCCGCTCTGACGGTGGGTCCGGCGGCTCCTGCCCGGATGCTGGGCTCGCAGGCGCGGCCGGAGCTGGAGAGAGACTTCCTTCCGCAGAGACCCCGCCCGGCAGCGCCCAGGCACCTCCGGAGCCTCTGTGAGTACAGGCGTGCGGTTTGCTGCAGTGCCCCCGTGCTGGGCAGACTGCAGCCCTGCCCGCGGGCTGTGTTAGTCGCAGGCGGAGGCGGGCGGAGCGGGCGCCCTGGTGTAGGCTCGGATGTGGTGCCTAAGAGGCACGGGTTCCTGGGGAGAGAAGACGCCTGGCATCTGGATTGGGGTGGGGTGCGGGGGAGGCCGGTTCCGACCGGAGAGAGAGACAACAGGTCTGTGTGGCCGCGTTCACTGTCTGCGCTGCAGTAAAGTGATGGGCGAGACCGGTGCCATTGCCGGCTCTGTTCTTCCCGCGGCCTCACGCCTGCCTGTGGCGGCCGGTGGGAAGTGGGGTTGCTATATCTTCATAGCAGGGTCGAGGGGTGGGGTTTGACGTGTCCGAGGGACGATCGAAAGGAAAGGGGAGAAGAAGTTTCCGGGGGAGAGTTTTGTGTAGGGCAGCACAGCAAGACTGGAGGTCACACGCGCCCTCCTCGCCCCCAACTGCCTTCTGACGCCGCTTCTTACGCGCCTGCGACATGACAGCTTCGGGCGCTGCCCTCCACCGCGGCTCAGCTTGTCAGTGTTCAGGCACCTGTGATACTTTATGAAAAGTTTCAGAAGTTGGCGACTTGGAAACAAACTTCCCAGAGCTCTTAGATGAGCCACGTAACAGCGATGATGTTAGTGGGATGTTGTCATCGTGGGGGCGTGGGGGACACTGGCGTTCCTAGTTCTTGCTTCTCTGAGATAAAACTCCCAAGGTTCCAACCACCAGCATCCTGACGCTGTCCTTCGAGAACCGTTCACAGAGTGACTAACAGAGGAGTTATTGTGAGAGAACGACGCAGGGAGGGCAGGAGAAGTGCACAGAATCGGTTTGGAAAAGGAGGAATTCGTAATTTTATCCACAGTGGCAGGCGCTGCTCATCAAAGATCTTCCTCAAAGATCTTCCTCAAAGAACGAGCCATATGCCGAGGGTGGAATTGCTTCTTTCGAGCAATTTCCATTTATCTGATGGGTTTGTTTATCATCTTTTTCTAATATTGTGGTTGTTAAAGGTCTCATACATTTACATGCATTTTGTTTTATAAGAAAGAAGATATTTAAGCCCATGGCACCCTGTCCCCCCACCCACCCCCCGTGCGGAAACTGGCTCGGATTTCCAAAGCAAACCTCCACACGAAACATGCTGACAGGATTTGTCTGGCAAACAGAAACACAGAGTCATTCCGCCGTGTTGCTTCAGCGACGTGTGATGGCAGAAATGATGTCTGTGAAGCCGGATATTTCAAACATCTGAACATGCACGTTTTTATAGGAGGCTTCCTATGAGGTTATATAAATGCACCACTTACCGCCCCTCAGCTAAAAGCCCCTCACTTAAGCCACATTGGGAAGGTCTAGGCGGGTGTGTTAGAATTCTCCATGGCACTTTCCCTAATGAAAACAAATTCACTTTGTCGTTTAGAAAATTATTATATATCTGCTCTATGCTTAGACCAAAAAAAAAAAAAAATCAATTATCTTGTGAAAAGAATGTGAAGTTGTTTGCATATTTTTGGCTTTCATGGAAAGATAGAAATACTCCATAAGAGAAAAGTAAATGTGTATCTTTTTAATTCGTGCATTAGGCGGAGCAGAGTTATAAAAGATTTGCTTAGTTATTCACGGGTGTATTTATTCTGACATCACATTAATGAGAGGTGCGGTGGCATAAGGCATCCTCATTAAAAATCATTCAGACTGAACACAAAAGTTCATAAGAGGAAACTCACCCCCCGTACATGCCGATGGTGAACTTCAGAGGCTGTCATTGCGGACATCTGGTGGCGAAATTCACATAAGGAAAAGTGTGTGTGTGTGTGTGTGTGTGTGTGTGTGTGTGTGTGTGAGAGAGAGAGAGAGAGAGAGAGAGAGAGAGAGAGGGAGAGAGAGACTGAGGGAGAGAGATCTTTAGTAAAATTGGTTTCCTACCATGCATCTTTCTATTTTTATATACTAATAAGACATACCTTAGGTAACATGATCAATGATGGATAGGTAGATAGATGTTCATTTTAAAGAATGAAAGCTTACCCTACTCTTTCAAAAACATATTGAGTTTAATTTTAGGTTCGGGTTAAGCAGGAAAAGAAAAATACCACGCACAATGTGGCATAAAATGGAAGAAATTGTTAGATCTCAGGTCTTTGCTTCTTCCCAAAGAAGATGTTACTTACAGAAAATAACCCTATAGTCAAGAACATTTATAAAAATACTAGAGGCCCGATGCACAAAATTCGTGCAAGAGTAGGTCTTCCCACCCTGACCGGTTTGGCTCAGTGGATGGAGCGTCGGCCTGCGGACTGAATGGTCCCAGGTTTGATTCTGGTCAAGGGCATGTACCTTGGTTGTGGGCACATCCCCAGTAGGAGGTGTGCATGAGGCAGCTGATTGATGTTTATCTCTCATCGATGTTTCTAACTCTCTATCCCTCGCCCTTCCTCTCTGTAAAAAATCAATAAAATATTTTTTTTTAAAAAAAAGAAAGGATAATATTATCCGTGTGTGATAATATTATTGCTTCTAATGTGGTTTTACTTTTTTAATTATCTCATTGCCTCTTCCCCAATATTTTATTTCAGGGTTGTTTTTCCTTCTGGCACCTGGGATCCGGGCTTCCCTCGCAGCCCTGGCTTCGTCCAGAAGGACGTCTGGTCTAATTCTCATATTATGCTTTTATGATTATAGATTAATGGAAGTCCATTTCAGGATGCATGTTTAGACATTAAACACTCTCTCACAAGTCCTTGTGCTGAAGGTTAAAAAGTTAGTGCAGGAGCTTTGTGATCATCACCCTTCCCCGCACCTCCTGAAGTTTATTATCCATTTTACAGTATTTACCTTCTGGCTTAATTCCCAGCATCTTGGTTTTGACGTTTTCATGTTTGAAAGGACTCAGTCCTTATGAACAGGCGTTCGCTGCTCCATTCGCCATTCTAGGGTCTTTTATTTTTAATTATGTACTGGGTTGTTGAATTCCACTAAGTGGTACCCCACCACCAAAGAAACAGTCACTGATGCGTGTTTTCTGTGTGCTTACAAAGAACACGCTTTCCTTAGTCTTTTGCATGGAAGGTAAGTCATCTTTCTTAAATCAAACTTATTTTTCCTTCAGGAATTAGTATTTGGAAACAATGATGGGGGTCCTTCCCGTGTTGAATGAGACCTCATAACAGTGTTTGTTATGCCTACAATTTCCATCCTTGGGTGTAACTTGATTTTTCTCTGATGGATGTTCACATGATTCTTTGTTTTATTTTTGCCGCAGTATGTCCAGGAATTAGTCTGTCTTTATCAACTCTTCCTGAATATGGTACATCCCATGGATTCTTTTATTCAAAAAGTGTGTTTTTGCATTCTACAATTGAATTTTTTAGAGGGGGGGGGGAGATTGTTGTTCTATTGCATTTTGCTTTTCTTTCAGGATCACCAATTGTGGGCATGTTGGATCTCATTTGTCTGTCTTCCACAGCTGTCATATTTCCTAATTTATTTTTAAAGTTATACTTTCCCGTTCATTTTGGTTGATTTCCTGAAGCTATTTCGCCACATCCCGAACAGTGATTTCCAACCATGTGTGTGATAATATTATTGTTTCTAATGTGGCTTTACTTTTTTAATTATCTCGTTGCCTCTTCCCCAATATTTTATTTCAGGGTTGTTTTTCCTTTAGAAAGTACGCATGGAGAGGTGGTGTTTCAGAGATGTTATATCTACGTTAGAGCAAGCGTCTAAGCACTTTCCCCAAACTGTGGCTGAGTCTCCTTCAGATTTTACTTCCCACTGCGTTTTTCTTTATTTTCCTTTTACTTTCAAAATAAGCCTAAGGGATGGATAGGCAGAACCCAGTACATTCTGAGGGCATTGAAACAATTCTGTGTGATACTGTCACGGTAGGTACATGCCAGTACACATTTGTCAGAACCCAGAGAATGTATAACACCAGGAGCGGAGCTTGATATAAACTATGGACTTGGGGTGACAGGGACGTATCCCTGAAGGTTCATCACTGTAACCAACTGTAGAACCACGTGCCAGGTGCCAGGTGTGTTGTTAGTGGAGGAACCACGTGCCAGATGCCAGGTGTGTTGTTAGTGGAGGAACCACGTGCCAGGTGCCAGGTGTGTTGTTAGTGGAGGAACCACGTGCCAGGTGCCAGGTGTGTTGTTAGTGGAGGAACCACGTGCAAGGTGCCAGGTGTGTTGTTAGTGGAGGAACCACGTGCCAGGTGCCAGGTGTGTTGTTAGTGGAGGAACCATGTGCCAGGTGCCAGGTGTGATGTTAGTGGAGGAGGCTGTGCATGTGTGGGGACCGGGAGTGGAAGCTGAAAGGTTGGGGGTCAGCTACCTCCTCCAAAGGTTCATGTAACTTTGTGATGGCAACGATGAGAAAGAGAAAGAACATGTCTGTGCTCCTGGTCCCTCTGCCCAGACACATGTTTGTGCTTTTTAGCTCTTGGCTGCCACGGAGACAGGCCGCAGAGCGTGTGCTTGGGGTTGTGTCCACTCCACTTTTCGCTGAAGGTGGAGGATTTTGCTTCGCTTTTTACCCACCCACCCCCGGTTGTTTCTACAGAACGAGAGAGGAATGAGCATCTCTTTACTTAGGAGCCTTAAGTAAAAACCTTTCCGTTTGGCAGAATTCTCCTCAATGGAACTTTTGTTGGAAAATTAAATTGTCCTCATCGTTCGCATTGACAAGGGCAGGGGTAGCTAAACGTGAGGGTGCTCCAGGTAATCGTATGTTCAATATGTGTGATGGCGAGGGCGTGGCAGGACGTACTGAGAAGGCAAAGCCCTTGGATGTGCGTTTGGTCTCCAATAAGTCTTTAAGGATGAAGGCTGTGGCTTAATTAACTCTCTTACAATCAATCCTCGGGGAATTTGCAGTGATATTGGGTCGTAGGAGCATAAATCAATTTTAGCAGGCTCAACTATTCCATGGCAGGAGGGTGGGTATGA